ACGCATAACTTTAAGAGTTTCTCCTCCATTTTAAAGAGGACAAGTCTAATTAACCAATTTGTAACTTTTTGTCCTGCTCCTGTCCACAAACGCCTGTAGTCTATGTGGATATTATGAGCCAAGTCCTGTTACATTTTTCTCGTTCATAGGCTATTTTATTCAATTCTCACACAAGCAATGCTTCAGATTTTGTATGTTAGTGCCTTGTTTCATTTCCATTTGATGCAGAAGGCTCAAGGAATGCTTTTTTTTTAGTCACTGTCGCAAAAAGCAAAATCATTTGGATGTTGGATGTACAAATGTATATTTTTCTGGAGTCCCACAAGTCATTTCTTTCTCCCAAAGAACTGTCTGATTGATCTAACCTTAAATTACAACGCATTCTCACCCTAAGGCGTCACCTTTGACCATGCTTCAATATTTGACGTTTTAGGCGCCCTTTAGCGTCACTTACATGACGCGATCCTACGGCGTCATCGAACTGACGCTAAAGGAAAGCGTCTGTTAGAGGACGCGGTTAGGTTTAGGTGTGGGGTGGGGGTAGGGTACACGCGATCCTAGGGCGTCATCTAACTGACGCTAAAGGGCGCCTAAAGCGTCAGATATTGAAGCATGTCCAAATGCTTCCCAAGGCGTCAGTTAAGTGACGCCTTGGGGGTGAGAATGGGCTGTAAATTAGTGACATTTTGTTTTTATTTACCAATGTCTTTCGCTGATATCCACAACCCTGTTAAAAGCCATTTTTTAGGTATTTTCATCAAACCTTGTCTTTTCGGACTGCAGTTGCCTTTGGCTGTCATAATAACAATGCAAACTTAGGTTCACTATGCGTGAGACTTCATCAATAAATCTTTTTTCCCACTCTTTGTTTATCAAGCGTTCTTCTTGTTTCGATACCTGACCTAACAACCGCATAAAAAAAAAAAAAAAAAAAAAAAAAAAACTAAACACATCAAATATGATATAATCGTTCAGACTGAGACGAATTAAGAACATTTTCAAAGATTTTTTATGCCTGTCTGAACAAGTCCCATGAGCCAAAGAGTGCATTTCCATCAATATATATATAATAGTTAGTTTCACGCAACATACTTCATATAATACAGTACTTGGCGAAAGATCTATTCATTTGCCAGCTCCAAATGCTAATGTTCCAGTGAGTTTAATGAGTTGGATCTGGCCAGTAGTGAGAGGGATGAGATGCTGAACCGATGACAGCTGCTCTATAAAAGTAAATCTCCCCTCATGCCTGTACTGTGAGAAAGTGCTCACTCCCTATGAGAGTACTGGCACGCTGACCTCCCTCACGCTTCCTGCTGCGCTCCAAACACATTAACGCAGCAGGAATGTTTGGCCATCGTGTTCAAGTGTGAAGGCGGTTGTTTGAATGCTGGGTTGTGGTTCATGGATTTGATATGATACTGGAGAGGCTGTGAATGCGTGTGTAGGAGAGGACGAGAGAGATGGGACAATTTACTTGTCAACAGTACTTCCTCTATGTAAATGCCAAACCAGCTTCCATCTCCAAACAGTCTCAGCCAATTGATTATTTCAGCTATCTCAAGAGCAGAAGCACACAGGAAGTTGCATAAACCATGTTTCCTGCACTACTATTCAAGTACTGTGTTCGCTATTAAAGCACCTCGACAAGGCAAATAAAAAAAATATTCAAAAGTTTGGGGTCAGTATGATTTTTAAAAGAAATGCCCTTTATTTTAAGCTCTATTCATCAAAGAATCCTGAAAAAAATGTGTCAGTTTCTACAAAAATACTGAGCAGCATTAATGGTTTTGAACATTGATAATAATAAATGTGTCTTTAGCAACAAATCAGCAAATTAGAATGATTTCTGAAGACTGGAGTAATCGCCGCTGAAAATTCAGCTTTGCCTTTACCGGAATAAATTACATGTTAAAAATAGACATTTCAATGGAAGTGTTCATACAAGTACATTAAATAAATAAATAGATTGTTATAGAAAATGGTCATGTAATGGCCAGTTACTAAAACATTTCTGACATTAAAATTCTATTCTATAAATTTTAAATAAAGGGCCAAAATCTACTTTTTTAAATGCTAAAACTGAATTTTGGCCCATGAAAACTGAAATTAATTTTCAGATTTGCAAAAAATTACATTTAAAGGGATAGTTCTCTTTGAAATTAATTTTTTGATATGTTTTAGCTTACCTCAAGGGCATCCAAGATGTAGGTGTCTCTGTTTCCACAGCATTTTCAATTTTGATTTTTTTTGGTCAAACCATTGTTGTCTGTCAGTCATACACTGGAGGTGAAGGGGGTCCTCAATCGGTTCACCTCAAAGAGCATGCACAGAGAAGTCAAAATGAAACATGATTTGATGTACAAAGTACAAATTGATGGCCTAAGACACGAAACGAGTGGTTTGTGTGAGAAAACGAACAGTATTTATATCGTTTTACCTCTTGTAATCATAGCCATGACAAAATTATCTGACGGCACGGGTGCTTCGGTCTGTGCATGCGCTGGAAGTGATTGCTTGCACGCCTACGTCACTCTTTGTTTATACAGAGATTTCGAAACTTTTACCTTTCACTAAACATATTTAGATATAGGGGAAACCGCAATGGAAGACGATTTCGGTATATCTAAATATGTTTAGTAAAAGTTAAAACTTCCAAAATCTCCGTGTAAATATTGAGTGACGTCACACACATGCGATCACTTCCGGCGTAACATTGAACTGATTCAGTTCGGTTCAGTTGAACATTGCACAACTGATTCAGATCACTTGGATTACACAAGGTAAAAACGATATAAATGCTGTTATTTTTCTCACAAAAACTGCTCGTTTCGTGTCTTAGGCCACTTACATATTCCAGTCATTAAATCATGTTTAATTTTACCTTCTCTGTGCATGCTTTTTGGTGGACCCACTTAGCCTCCAGTGTATGACTGATATGAAAAATGTCAAAATTGAAAATACTGTGGAAACAAAGACACCTACATCTTGGATGCCCTTGAGGAAAGCTAAAACATATCAAAAATTAATTTCAAAGTGAACTATCCCTTTAACAGTGTTATTAAACGACCAGTAAAGATTGATTATATGTGAGTGTTAGGTAAATGTTAACAACCTAAATATAAATGAAAAGAACGCTCTAATATTTGATGATCCGATTGGATTACCAGGTTGCATGTAAACAGTTTATAATGAATGCATCTCATTACAAACAACTACCCGTTCCCCCTCATACCCGTTAGAAGGAGGGTCCTTATATATGATAAATATTTGCTAAATATATCACGTCATGCTGCATATTCCTGTGAGTAAAAGTAACACAACCTTCTGTCCAGGATCAGACCAGCAGTCCAGAAGTGAATCTAGCAGTTGTGAGCAGAGATCGGCTCTGTGCAAGAGGCCACCGTCTCCCTCAGGACACTGGAGTAAAAGCAGCTTAAAGCTACATATTCATTATTTACGTCTCTCTCACTATGATTAATTCACAGGGGGCAGGTTTACTTGGAAATAAGAGGGAACCGTAAATCATATTCCCAGAACATTGTCATGTGTAGTGGAGGTTATATGATCTATGGTTGCATCTTACATCACTGGTGTCATTGCATTGTAGTTAACAGTGAGACAGCTTGTACGGTCTGGTATAACATCACCTCAATCAGGCTTCTATTACACACTGTTCTGTGTTGTACAATCACTAAGAATTTGTTTTCCCGCGGCTATTCCGATAGGGGAAACTGAATAGTCCGGCATGTGTAAGCAATGGAAATGTTCAGGAGTAGAGCACCAAAAGTCTCACTTATATCAAAGATAAAAGTCTCACTCTGTACTTGAAAAGACCTCACAGTTTATGTGTGAGACACTAGTAACAACATTATCAATGCTAGCACTGTACTACGAAGGACACTTTGGCATTGAATTGTGACTAGGATAACTAAGGAAGAATCTCTTCTCAAGCAGACAGTCTGAAGAAAGCTTAGTGGGAAATGAATTTTTCACATTTTAATGCAAGTTCTTTGTCCTCTTCAGTCAGTAAGACATTCTTCTCTTCTAACACCAGCCCTGTCACTATTCAAACCTTACATTAGAGGTCAGCAGAGATTCAGGCGGGGTCGAGAAAGATTTCTGGTATAATTTTAAAACGTTTTTTTATATCCTACAGTCTAGACCTTTATATAAACTGTGCGGCTTCACATGTGCATGAAATATGAAGAGAAATGTAGGCGACCATGTGAGCTGGACACACAGGTGAACTTAAATTTACACCAGTCTGGTTTTCTATAAAGATGAATGGATACCTAGAAGGGTAGATTCATATTGATTACTTTTAAGATGTTTTTATTATCCTTTTAAAGCTTGAAAATGTTGATTACATAGACTTTCAATCAATGGAAAAAAAAATGAGATTATTAATAATTTCTCCATTTGTGTTTCTAAGATAAGTCTTATGGGTTTGGAATGACATGCGGTAAATGTCAGTTGACATTTTTAGTTTTGGATATAGTAACCCTTTATTCTTAACCTTTAACCTGGTTAGTTCACCCAAAAATGAAAATTATGTCATTAATGACTCACTCTCATGCCGTTCCAAGCCCATAAGACCTCCGTTCATCTTCGTAACACAGTTTAAGATATTTTAGATTTAGTCCGAGAGCTTTCTGTCCCTCCATTCAAAATGTATACATGCTATACTGTCTTTGTTCAGAAAGGAGATAAAGACATCAAAGTAGTCCATGTGACATCAATGGGTTAGTTAGAATTTTTTGAAGCATTGAAAATACATTTTGGTCCAAAAATAACAAAAACTACGACTTTATTCAGCATTTCATTGTCTACCGATTCTTTTGTCAATCTGTGTTCACGAGTCCGCAGTGACGCTGATGACTTAAGACACTGTTGACGTGTTATCTGGTGTGTACGGCCGCACCCGCTCTTATGTGAAAATAAGGTGGATAGAAGCTTTTCACCCGACCATAACAATGTGTGTTGTCCTGTTTCCTGACCTTTGAGATGTCCTGACCATCGATGAGGATGCAGCCTCCTTGAACGTCATAAAAACGGAAAAGCAGGCGGATGACGGTGCTCTTTCCTGATCCGGAAGGACCAACCTGTTAAATAAGATATTAGCAGAGGTGAACATCTTGCACCTTCACACATTTTCTTATTCGGTAAAAGTTTTGGTGCATTATTCACAAATGTAGAATTCTGATAACATTTTACCAGAGCAACTGTCTGACCAGGCATCACTGTGAATGAGACTTCACTGAGAATCTCTTTTCTGTCAGGAAATAAAACAAATCAGATGTAAAAACTTAAGAAAAAAAGAAAAGAAAAAAAAAACTCAAACTAAACATCTGCCTTCATCGATATAAGCATGACTCACCCAGCAGTGTAACTAAAACACACGTTCTGGAAATCAACCCTTCCTTCTGTGAACGACAGGTCTCCTGCATTCACATCATCCTTTACCTACAGCAGAGAGGAATCTGGAAGTTAGAAAAAGCAATCTGGGCTTGTAGCACAGGAGACAAGGAGGAAACTGGGTTGGCGGTGAATTAAGCAAACCTGAAGAATGCATTAAAACTGATTTATTGGTAAAAACGTTGAGGCCTCTTTCTGGTCAAGTTCAAGAATCAGTTTGCAAATTCGCTGCGACAGCTTTTGGGAATAAATAAAAAGAAATGTGAAGATCAAATAAGGGTTTTAGTCCGATTATTTGCATATGAATGGAATCTAAACACACTGGGAGTGTCAAGGAACGGTTGGCTGTTGGTTGCATGACTTTGGGGAAAGGGTTCCCAAAGGATGGGGGTAACTTGAGTCAGTGCAGGAGGTCATGACAATAAATCAACACTTACTGGTCCACAATACCAACGCTGGCACGTACAGAGGGGTGCAATGCAGCTTTTAGGAATCAATTAGATGGTATTTGTGCTTTACTAACTACAGTAGTCAACATTTGAAGTGGATCAAAACCTTTCATCAGCTATACATGAATTTTGAACAAAACCGGTTCTTGTCTTAGGACAACTTTGATGAACTTTTTTGATCCAATTCAAATGCTGACTACTGTAGTTGACTAGTAAAAGTACTATTCGGAAGTGATTTACCTATGACTTGACTAAAAATGACTCAAAACGTCCATCTTTAGTGACTACTCACCTCTTTTTCCTCTTTTAGTAGATCAAACATGCTCTCCATGTCAACAAATGCACTTTGGATCATTCTGTGCAAACACAACAGCGCAATGAAATAAGTCAAGGAACTGAAAAGTTTGGCAACTGCCTGAATTACAAATAATATATAAGCAAGAAAATAAATACATTAAATCTAAGGATGTGTTCACTTGTAGTGCTGTACTCTTGGTCCAGAAAGTGAAACATTTAGTCCTGGTTACGTTTTGGAATGCATGTGCTACATATGATAGTATTTTACTAGCTGAGAACCTCACAAAGAGCTTATAAAATGTGTAAAGGAGTCAGACGTTAGGAATTCCTCCGTTACACACAAACAACGATTTCCTGCAAGGACACTGTATTTCCAACACCTGTACTGAACTGTAATGGGGAACATTACCGAGACCAGCACTCTGGGTTCGCTTGTTTGATGCATACCAGGGTTTTGAATGGCAGCTTTCACTTAAAATGAACTGCACCAGTGCATTTTAATCAAACCAAACCTGCCAACAGTAAACACATCCTAAGATTCAAAGGGACAGATTCACAAAACTTTCACAAGGATAAAAAAAATTTAATTTTATATTTTCTTTATCTTATAATAAAGTTAAGAATATTTTACATTGCCAAAACATTTCTTAAAATTGTTGGTTTAAAGACGAAACTTAAAAAGAATTTGAATTCCTGAAATCAATGTTCTTAAAAATCATCGTAATAATTTCTTTAAGTTATTATAACCTCCAACTTATGTAAAATCCCCAAAGATAATGTTTAATAAATTTGTTGTGTTGTTTCAAATATTAAGCACTACAACATAACACTATCTACACACAGTAAAATATAACTAGGGAGCAATCTGAAGTGACTAATGACTAATAACAATGATTGATCATGAGTATGTGGGGCGTAACTTTTTGCTAAATTCAAAATTCAATGACAAATCTACATAAATGACTCAAATCATTTATTTAATTTTATAATTATAAAATCTGTTGGCAGCATTCAGCAGACATGTTCACACACTAGATTCTTTGGCAAGAACTGCCATATAATCAAACATCACAAATGCCTGTCATTTAAGTTCCCATGTGGTGAAAAACAAGTCAAGTCAAGTCAAGTCACATTTCAAGTCAAGTCAAGTCAGTCACATTGTGACTTGACTTGACTTGGTGAAAACTCCATGTCCAACCTAGGGAAACATTGTTATGACTTGACTTGGTGAAAAACAAGTTTTTAATGTTGTTTATAATTATATGTCTATGTAGTGTTTATAATATGCTTTAAGATATGTGCAAATTCATAAGTCAACACCATTACAGAGTATTTTCTCCTTAAAAATTCAGTGAAACCTTGTAACCAATCACATTAAAATGCAGGCAGGCTTTAGCATTTAATTACTATGCCATGAAGCAAGGGTGTCTCAAGAAAAGCCAGGATATCTCTGTACATTTTTCTACATTTAGCATTTAGTGTCCCAGTTCCTCTTTTTCTAATCTTACCTATAATATGTACCAAACCAGTTGAGAGGAGTGTAAAGCTGGATAATATATGTTCCAAAGAGAACATAGTCACCAACCTATGACAGCAACAACAGCGGATGAACAACAAAAGTTATGCTCAAGATCAATAAGAACTAGATTTCTACATTTTATGAGTAGTGATTACTGTACTTGAAACTTGTCCACTGTAACATAGTATGCGCAAAGCAGCGATCCGGCCAACAGCCCCAATCCAATAATCAGGTTCTGGGTTTGGTTCAGGAGGGCCAGGGAAGCATTGGTCGTCCATTCACATGCCTGAGCAGAACGAGAATCCAACTCAGTGTCTCGCCAGTAACTGCTTATGAAGTTTAAGTGATCGTATTACCTGATATTTCAGGATAGCATCCTCAAAGCGCCTCACTTCAAAACCTTCTGAATTATAGTACTTCACCTAAATGGTATGACACATTTTGTAAAATTGGCAAGCTTAACGCTTAACAAAACTCCATGTCCAACCTAGGGAAACATTGTTATGGCATTTGGTCACTTACAGTTTCAAAGTTGAGAAGTGAGTCCACTGCTTTTGACTTGGCATTGTTGTCCTGAGTGTTCATTTCTCGTCTGTACTTGGTTCTCCATTCAGTTATGATGATGGTGAGAGCTGAAAACAAATGTCAAATTGAACTAGACATCAAAATATGCCAGTTGAATGTCAGCTCTTATAATATGAAGTGTGGTGCTGATAGCACAAATAAAAGTACTGCACTTACTGAGGTAGAAGAACATGCAAATGAAGACAATGAGGCCGAACCAGGCACTGAAGTACGTCACGAAATAGATGATGGCAATGACGATGTCAGCAATAGTGGGTACAATGCTAAACACAATATAGCTGTAACACAAGAGAAAAAAAAGAGTTGAGCATTAGCATGTCTAACTAGCCAAGTTCTTTAAAAGAGCAATAGGTAGAAAATCAAAAGGCAATCATCAGACCTTAACAAGTTGTTGACAGAGGAGGTCCCACGGTCAATGCTGCGCAGAACATCTCCGGTGCGGCGGCCCAGGTGCCAGCGCAGAGAGAGGTCATGCAGGTGACCGAAAAGACGGACCTGCACCACACGGCTCGTGTACTGCTGGACACGTGTCCATAGGAAGCTGCGCAAGTTACTGACAAACCCTGACGTTCCTGAGCGGAAAGAGACAGTTAATGGTTTGTACAGAGTTTTATTGTTTAAAACCACTGTATATACATATACATCTTCCTTACAATATCAATATGAATATCGACCCTCACCTACCCCTCCGCCCTGCAAGAACTTAAGGAGGACGTAAACACAGACCGTTGTGGCCAGGGGTTTCCAGCTCTCCAATGCTGACAGCTGGTTCACTGGAATATTAAAAATGCAAAAACACAGAGGAGATGTGAGTGCATTAACACTTGTGCTGGCTCAACTGGTAAATGTTCTTGTTTTAAGTCAGGATTAGCTTAAAAAAAAAAAAAACTTTCCATACACTGCCATTCAAAAATTTGGGGTCTTTAAGATTTCATATAGGCTATATATGAAATTGTTTATGCTCACCAAAGCTGCATTTATTTTATCGTAAAACTAGTAATATTGTGAAATAGCCAATATCACTACTCGGCCAATATCACTACTCGGGAAGATAAACGCCATCAAGATGATCTTTCTACCACAAATCCTATACTTGTTTCAAAATATTCCTGTTTTCTTAACAAAATCCTTTTTCAAGAAAATTGATTCAATTATTCAACCCTTTCTATGGGATTACAGAACTCCAAGAATTAACAAAAAACATTTAACCAAATCTAAAATGAACGGAGGTCTATCCCTCCCAAATTTCATGATGTATTACTGGGCGTGCGCTTTTAAAAGTATAAACTCCTTCAACACCACTTATAATACACTCCCCACTTGGTTAGCTATTGAAATGGAAGATTGTGGTCCATATTTACCTACAGCCCTAATTCTCTCACCAATGGCACTTGACAAATCAAAGGACGTTCAAAACCCAATCATACATAATCTATTTCGTATATGGAAGCAAATCAAGTCACATTTTGCCCATAAGACATTGCCTCTTTCTTTACCAATTGCAAAAAATCCATCCTTTGCCCCTTCCAACTTAGATCTGACATTTTCTGAATGGAGAAAACTAGGATTATGTTGTATTCGTGATCTATATACTGAAGGTAAATTTGCTTCCTTTGCACAATTGCAGACAAAGTTTAAACTAAATAGCAATAATTTCTTTAGATACCTACAAGTCAGAGATTATATCCGAAAACTCATGCCAGGTTTCGAGACACAACCACAATCTATGCTAGATGAATGTTTCACTATACACCCATATAAAGATAAATTTATCTCTATTATATATAACAAACTACAAACAATGTCTTCCCCTCGTCCAACAAATATAAAGATAGCTGGGAGAAGGACATGGGTATCCATATCCCTGATGACATCTGGGAAGAATCTCTGAAATACATACACTCCTGCTCTAATAATACGAGACATTGTCTTATACAGTTCAAAATAATACATAGGCTTCACTTCTCAAAAGTAAAGATCCACAACATTTTCCCGAATGCTTTATCAAACTGTGATAAATGTCAGTCCCTCAATGCAACACTTTTTCATGCCTTTTTTTCTTGTCCTAAAGTTGCCACCTACTGGTCTGATGTATTTAAGGTATTGTCAAGAATTTTTAAGATTACATTATTACCGGAACCATTGTTGATTATCCTTGGCACATCACAGTTCTTTAGAAATTTGACTGCACCCCAGCAGCAGTTCATTTCCTACTCTCTTATTACTGCTAAAAAGTTACTCCTGATGTCATGGAAAGGACCAGAAATACCCACCGACAAAATGTGGCTTCGAGACATGTCCAATACTCTACATTTGGAAAAAATTAGATATTTGTTGAAGGACAATCTCTCAGGTTTTTATAAGATCTGGCAACCCTTTACGGATTTCTTACAATCAGTATCTGTATAAATATTTATTTCTTTTTACTTTATTCATATAAATTATTATTGTACCTTCTGCTACCAAACTTTATTCTACTTCCGCTTTGTCTGTTTTTGTTTTTGTCTATATGTACAGTTATATAAAAATATTTGAGCCTCTCCTGTATTGTTGATCGAAGACTGTATAATGTTTATATGCTCAATAAAAAACTTTACAAACGTAATATTGTGAAATATTAAACCTTCAAATGGTCTTTGTTTCCTGTTTACACTTCTATACGACCCCAACAATTGATTGAGTAATTGTACAAAAAAAAAAAAAAAACATTTTTAATCATACAAATAATAAATATATATATATCATCTATTCATTAATGCTGTGTTTTTGGAGATATAAAGTACTTTTGTATCCATATACTACACAATTCTTCAAATACACCGTTAGCTTGCATTTGAAATATATTTTTTTTATGATACATTGCATTTATGCTCTAATACTAGGCCTTCATTTCTGTGTAAACATTTTCAGATTTATGCCGTATTTTTTTTTTTTTTTGACACATGAAGAAAATATATATTTTTTTTTTTTCACATTTCCCATTCATTTCAATGTGGCCTTCAGACCCGAAGGCCAGAAGTGTAAAAAAATGTTTTTACATACCTTCAGAACAACCGAATCAAGCCCAGTTTTTGTGTGTGTGTGGATAGATAGATAGATAGATAGATAGATAGATAGATAGATAGATAGATAGATAGATAGATAGATAGATAGATAGATAGAGTATGAAAAGTCACAAAAACTTATTCCACTGAGATGAACCTTTTTTTTTTATTAAGTAAAAGTTGATTGGGGTCGTACAACAGACCCCATGAGCCGATTGAGAACTACCTAAGTAGTTTTCTACTTTAATGTTTTAAAATGTCATTTATTACTGATTCATAGCTGAATTTTAGCATTATTACTCGTCTTCAGTGTCACATGATCATTCAAAAATCATTCATAAAACCTTGATACGTTTTTCTTTTCAGGAATCTTTGATGAATAGAAACTGCATTTGAAAAAGGAATACATACAAACGTTATTAATGTCTCCCCTGTCACTTTTGATCTATTTAATGCATCCTTGCAAACTTTTGAACAGTAATATTTTTGCTGAACTTATATCCCTAAGGCTCTCTATAGGAAGCACATACTGAGAACACATTTCACTGCTGTTTTCTTATTAATAATGAGCGTGTGAAGAACATCTACCCTTTAATCACACACAGACAATAAAACTTTAACATCCTGAGTCATGCATAACATGACTTCAGTTCAACACACCAAAATTGAACAACTGCCCAAAAACGCTAACTCACTGACTTTTACGTGAATCCACAACAAAACATCCAAAAGGATGCCGTCTGAGCCAGGAGCCACAGCATCTAGATGCATCTAGAAAGCGAACACATTGGTCTGTCCTGGGAGCTGAGAAAGATCCTCAATGCGATTCATTTACATTCATGGACGTTTTGATCGTGCGCTTGAAACCAAATGAGGAAAGAAAAAAAAAAAAAATCAAAACAATACAAGAAAATGCCCAGGGCACAAGCAAAAAGTCTCTTCCTCTCTCTTGAGCTGGGGGAGTAGTAGAACTGGATGGTGAGAGAGCTGATTTTTATCCTTGGCATCGGGGCAGAAAGAGCTACGGACAAAAAGGCCCTTGTACCAGCGTGTTAACTCGGCTAAAAGCCCCTAATGCCCCCTAATCGTGACTGGCAGGGTTGGTGACCTCCCCTATTACCCCTCTCAATCTCTCTCTGCCACACAAAAGCTCACTTTTCTCCCAGCGTGGCTTTCATGTGCCTCCAAATGCAAAGCTGTTACTCGTCTCTGATAATGAAGCACATACACACACCACCGACTTCAGGAAGAGATCAAATGAACAGCGTACACTTAAAGAGCGAGGATGATAAGAGAGAATGAATAAATGAATCAAGACGGGGAATTTCAAAAATGGGGGCGAAAGAATGAAAAAAAGGAACAGAATGAAGGGTGGAAACAAAGTTTCTTGAGCCACAGAAGAGTTTAGCATAGTTGGGTTTTGTCCCACGTTTCTTTTGTGGAAGTTCGATACTTCTTGGCTTATGTGAACCAAAGGCTTTGACTTCTCTGGGAGGTTTTAGGGGCTGCTCACCCATCCAGCTGGCCCACAAAAAGGGGCTGAGAAAACTGGCAAAGGAGGGGTAACCTGACTTCACAAGCATGCTCCCGCATATACATTCTTGACTGTTTCAAAGCTGCCTTTACATATATTTCTTCATCAACAGATATCTCTGTTTTTAGCCATTTTAAATATGTAACATTTGAATTACGCATCAGTTATAGCCTTTTTTAAACCTAAAAATGCCATTGACACAGTTGCATGCCTTTCCAATTATTTCTGCAAACAAATTAAATCATTTATTCACTAATGCTGTGGTGGCGGGGGTGTTGGGGGGGTGGACGCCCCATGTTGAGCACCACAGGGCAAATGTTAAAATATGCTGTCCTCTACTGGTCACGTATGGTAATGCAACAAAAAGTGAAAGGGTCTTTAGCATTACAGTTTTTTTTTCCACAATCTCTAGGATAGATTTCTATATTTCAGTTGTTGTTTTGTTTACATTTGCTAGGATGCATTTCTCAATACTTGGGTCAATTTTCAAAACTCTTCACACAGTGAGCACAACATGAGTCTACTGAAATATATTTAGAATCTTCAAAAAAAAAAAAACATTGAAATACTAGTAAAACAATTAGATATAGCTAAACACCTATACGTTTTAGTCTTTAATTTCATTTGGTGAAAACTTGTCTTGGAAAAAAAAGTGAAAAAATTAAAAAAATGTTGTACTTGAAATGTAAACATTGACCATGTGACATTCTGCAGTGAGTTATAAACAGCAGAGAGATGTAATTCTTCTTTTGTAAAAAAAAAGTTTTGCAAAAGAAAACCCTGTGTAAAGCTTTACAAAAGTTCTACACTACTACCTGGTAGTGTTTTTAGGTTGACAAAATAAAAACAAAACAAAAACAGTGTTTGAGTGACAAAGTGCATTTGCAGGGTGACAACCTTTGAGTGTTATGGAAGAATGGCTTGATTTCAGACATGAATATAGTGTTTTTGCAGTTTTTACATTTGCATTTTGGATGTGAAATGAACTTGGGGACTGTTCTCAAAATATGAATATGTTCCCATATACATTAGTTTCAAGAGTATTTGTTCTTTCTTTATGTGGACTTTTTTCCCAAGTATATAGTATTTCATCCATTTATGTCAATTAAACCAACTGGCTTTGTGTTAAAATAATATACAAAATGCAAATACAACAGTAGCTGTAAATAACGAGACAGAACAACATTTTTTTTTTTTAATAATTAGCCAGAAAGTGATGTTCTTTTGAACTTTCTATTCATTAAAGAACACAATTGTATCATGGTTTCTGACACTAAATTGTCACTGTGTGACACTAAAGACTGGAGTAATGATGCTGAAAAATAAGCTTTGCCATAAAGTACATTTAAAAATATATTTTAAATAGAAAATGTATTTTAAATTGCAATATCATTTTACAGTTTTATTGTTTTACTGTATTTTAAACCTTTATCTATTATAGAAAAAGAAGAGACAGAAACAGAAAAAAATTAATGACATTTGATTAATGATTAATTGACTGATCTCACCGATATTCCTGCTGTAAATGGGTACGAACACATTGATGACACGCTCGAGACCAAGCAGCCCAACACACAGAATCACAAGAGCCTGCAGACACACACTTCCTCTGGGCCACATGAATGGCACCAGCAGACACACTTTCCTCCTGAAGTCCAGCCATGCTGAGCTAGGGGTCACTTCCACAGGGCCTTGTCTTTGAGGCTTCTGTTGACGAGTAAAAGAATTTAAAACAAAATAATACAATTAAATTAAATTAACCCGTGGGTATCCTTTTGGACATTTTTGTCTTTTTGATAATTTTGCCTGTGTTAATGTCAACTGCATACATTTCGGCAAAAGTCTGTATTTTTATTGGAATTTTACCATTTCACCCCCATCTATTTTACACTAGGTACACAGAATAATTGCATTGCACTTTGAAAGCCATTCAAACTGAATTTTTTTTAATCCCAGTGCCATTTAACTATAAAATTGTACAGTTTTCTTTGTTAATAGGCTTTCATTTTGTTCAAAAAGTTATAATTGTGTTGGTACGAGTTGGTACCATTTTCTCTGGTTTTGTGTAAAGCAAGTACTTGCTTTTTCTTGTTTTCTGCATCTGTGTAATATAGCCAATTAGATTAAATATACATGTGTGTGGGTGTGTAGGTATGGATGTCAGAATGTGGTTTGTATGCGTGTAATAAAAATAATAATATTTAGGAGAGAAAAACTACTGTAGCCTACTGCAACTCCCAACTGTCAGTACCAGTGGAACTTTGCTGACATCCAATGGGTAAAAATTGGAACTGCACACAAACAATATCTTCCTCAAATCACATTTTTTCGAGATATAACCTCAAATTTGGAACAAAACTTCCTTTGATTTATGGTTCGGATTTTTCTAGCAGTTTTTTTGAGTTCAAAATATTTTATTAAAGATATATTTTACATACAAAAGTTCATATCATTTTCATAAACAAACCCTCTACAACCTTTTATATTTTACTTAAAGAAAACGAAACCAAGGGGTCTTTAAAATTACACCAAACTTAAGTCTGTGCTCCAAAATATTATAACTGTTTTTTGACCTGGACATTGTTGTCCTCGCGAAGAGTAACATTTTTAAATTGATGTAGGCTACAAGGTCTTAAAAAAGTGGCACACGATGAAATGTTATTCTTACCTCTACAGTCAGGGCAAATGATGCTTCTTGCTCCGTTTCATTTCCCAGTGCATTTCGTTTCGTTCGTCGTTTAGACTTGTTTGCCATTGTTTGACTTCCTATAAACAATCAAGCTCTTACAAATACAGTCTGGATGCATTATTCCATCGAGTGTATTCAGTCTACAGATTTGCGCTGACATTAGGATTTAAAGTGCATGTGCGCGCGTGTACTGTTTTCTATAGGTACTGGCCGTCAGTATTCAGCTGAAAAGGAAACGCTCTGCGTGTCATATGGGCAACTTTCACATGACCGGTAGACTTGTGGTCATGTGGCTCGTGTGTTAAATGAAAACGCTGACGCTTTTAACCACTGAAACGACTGTTTTCCTCTTGTGTTGTAAGTTTTCGTTTCGAACAGCAAATGTTGCTTGCGATTTCTAAAATAATGTCCCTCTAGAGGGCGCTATGCGGCTCAGAAGGCAGATTCTCAATCAAATAGCACGCCTTTTTTGTTTTAATAAAGTTCTGTGTAATCTACAATACTATTTTAAATTAATTCTAAATCCCCAGATTGTTAACTGAAATGTAAATTGATATGCAACACAGCAATTACAATAAAATTTTATGCAAAAATGAGTTACCGATTAATTGGAAATGACTGTGAGTGGTCCATACAACAGCACTGTACTGCTAATGCTATATTTACTTTAGTAAAATTATAAAAGTTACCTTTTAAGAAAGTTAAAAGAAAAAAGTAGGCCTACTGTATTTAAAATAAAAGTAGCTACTGATTGATGAATTATCGTTTAATAATTTTTTCCCCACTAAATATGATCCATCTGACTCGTCAAAATAGGCTACGTGGTGGTTTAGTCTAAAGTTAACTGTTTTGCATGGTAACAATGAAAAGCAATGTGCCATACCGAATCGGCTGAAAAAGTCACTGCAGTCAAAACTTTATGCCATCTGTCTTCATTCAGACCTGAAAGGAGGATGCAGCAAGTAGACACTTTGTGAGTATCTGGCTACATATCGTACAATAGAGAGATCTTTAAGGTTGAATTCAATTCCTACCATAAAGTAGCCTATTGACAGAGACACATTTCAGCCTGATGTGGATGAAGAGTGGAAGGCGGTTAATGAGCCAGTTGGTGACTAATCGAATGTTGGTCAGTCCAAGGGTTTGACAGTGGCAGTATGAAGGCATATGCGGCTGAACCTTTCCAAGACGGCGGACATAGACCGCCTGTCGTTCTTGGAAAATATGTGTGTCAGATGGGCTTTTTATTCTCTGTATAGAGTCTTTTTGGAATACTCAATTCAGTATGAAAATGACACTGTTGGTATGTTTCAATGTTAGTGTGACAGTGAATGAGCACAAACGAGAATGAAACATGAAAAAATGTGGAAAGGTGGGAGATGCTGAGCAATTCTTCAATCATACCGTAATCTAAACGAATGAACAGACAAACTCTCGGCTTTGTCTCTTTTTACAAAAGCAATTTAAGGCCCATTTCTGTTGTGTGCTATTTCAATTCTCGCTCTTTCTTTTCCCACATGGGACGAAAGGAAAAAAGACAAGCAGCTGCCTTTCCCAAGCCACACAAAAGAGGGGTGAAAAACAGAGAGGAAAAAGAAAAACTGTGGGTGTTGAGGGTGATGGTGAGTGGAGAGTAGCGGGAGAAGAAATCTTATCATTTCCAGCACACAATGGGCTGGTTTCTATGACAGGACAGTTACAGATCTGTTTTATCTTATTGTGGCTTTGTGTGTGTGGTAATGGCCGTCTGCCTGTCAACTGGTCATTATGAAGCCTTTTGTCCCATTGAGCGAACATGTGCTGTCCATCACGCAGCTCATTTCACTTCACTCTTTGTTGTGCGCTCCAGTTCTTATTGCGGTGCCTAGTGGGAAAGCGTGGATCCTGTCTCTCTCCAGTGGTGATTTTCCTCTTTGTAATCCATCTGAACCAGCAAATTGCAATTTTAGGAGAAGGGAGGAAGAAAAAAAAGGAGGTAAAAATCAATTTAATCCAAGGGAGTCCGGTGGGGAGAATGACTTGTGCCACCCAGAGAAATGATTGGTATTTTCGATTCTGTGCAAAACACAAAAGGGACCAGGTTTATTTGATCTCAATCAGTCCATCTATTCCAAAATCATTTTTTTTCTTTCTTTCCTTCACATCTGTACTGTATATATTATCTCAAATTCTTACCTCATCCACAGTCATTGGTACAACAGAGACTTTCAAGGACATTATTCTGAGAACATGTTCAGCTGTCTAACAGCCACCTGTTGGCCTGCAACCAACCACGGCACATACAGGTGTGCACAGAGAAGAGAAGCCATTGACTTAATATATGGTCATATTATTAATGTGTTAACACAGTGATTTTCAATATCAAAATTCTGATACTGATCAGCAAATTTTTTTTTTCACATTATGGCTACTAATTGATAAATGGCCACCTCCACGTCTGCTGTTTCTACGCTAAGTCTTCTGTGACTCCAGAGCATCCACCGAGACTTCCTCTTCCGCCTCTTCCTAAATCATCCAGTTCCTCTGCCCCGTATCCGCTTTTTCCCTTCATGTCCTCGGCTGCTCCTTGGACACCACTCCATTGTGTGGATTTGCATCGTCCTTACGACTTCAAAGGGCTCCCACTCTGTTTGCGCCACGGACTTCCGAGATGTCCTCCATCTCTCCACCCCTTCAACACCTCGGTCCTCAGTCTCACCGGCTCCGCCTCCATCCTCTGGCACCAGCTCCGACGCTCGTCACTACGGCATCCGTCTTGGCCTTGGGGTCCAACAACTCTCCATCCATCACCCCCCTGGTTTCATCAGACAAGCCTCTACCATGGTTCATCCCTCCCTCGACTCCACCATGGACCATCGTTCTGGCTGCACTCTGGATCCCCACCTGGATACTCCTGCTCCTAGCTCCTCCCACAGTCATCACCAACCTGGTTTCTCCCGCTACCATCTCCTATTATTTCCTGCCATTCGCCTGCATCTCGTCCTCCTCCAGAGCCCCCTCCCTCCTTAGTTGGACTGTTACGATGCAAGGCTTCTGGCCTTCCCGGAGGAGGGCGTACTGTAACGTGTATGTTCCATTTTCCCTGTTCCCACATGCCTGTGTTCCCAACATGTACACATTGATCTAGTTTCCTCATGTGTGACAGTAAGTAAGTTCACCTGTTGTATATTTAGCTTCCTCGTTCACCTCTGTGTAGTCCTCAGTTTCCTTTGTTCAGTTGTTGCCTGCTGCCATTAGGTCCTCTTTATTTTGCAACCGAAACGTGAACCATACAGATAAACGTACATGTTAGAATTATCATAATTACTAGATGAAAATCAAACGATTTACTCAAAGCAGATTGCACTTTGCACTCAGATTGCAGATTCAGATTCAGAATTTTGTTTTTCTATGGCAACACAAATAGTGCAACAAAAAAATCAGTGTAATTAAGTGATCAATAGACATAACCAAAACAAAATAAGTCATGCAAATGCCTTATTTATAAACAAATTATAATACATTTTATTATAATAAATAAAATTTACTTCAACTTAGAACGCATCTTAATTAGTCTGATGCAAGTAATTTTACTCTGTGCTATACATTACAAGACATTGTATGTCTTTATTTTCAGATTAATCTCACATTATTAACAATAGTCAATTAGGAAATATTAAGCAGAAATATTACGAGATAACTACTTAAAATTTTAAACCACAACAATTTTGAGTGTTTACGCATGTCGTTGCAGCAGTCAGGTGGTACAAGACGTCTGAAAATATTTAGTGTTTACAAGTTTTTATGACTTCTACAAGGACGAGAACATAATTATGGTAATTCCAACATGGTGTGAACGCACATGGTCGTTTGAGATGATGGACATCTAATAGAAAGGTTTGTGGTCTTATAACAGCAGGATTGAAGAAGGCTGTGCGTACAGCCTTGATTCAGACAGAGCTTGGCATTGGAGAGTCCAGCAGGAGCATTTGTGGTTTGTAGAAGCAAAAAGCCTGACTTTGCACCCTCTCAGAAAGGCCGCTCTCTAAACAGCCTAAGATGTTGAGCTCTGCATGATGTCCAATGCTCAATAAACCCAGCCAGAAAAAGTGAAAGCATCCCTGTCTGCCCTGGATCCGTATTTGATCTGCCTCAGTGGTCAAACCAAAAAAGACATGAACATGAAGTCTGTCAAGAAGTCTGTCAAAATCAAATCCATATCCCCTCGCATGAAGAAAACAGTCAGCTCAGATGTTTGTTCTTCGCTTCTGTTCTTACACATGCACCTTACCTCACATCCTCATCCTGTAGAAACATTAGTCTGTCACAGATAACACAGAACACACTTCTGACACCCATTCAGAGTTCACCAGCGCTGAACACAGAACTAGATATGATCTCATCACATCTTGTGGTGTGGCCAAACACAAAGGGCCTTCCTGTCAGGAGTTCGCAAACCGTCCTACATGTCTGTGCGCAATACAAGCAGATAAGATCTCTTCTTATTAACACATTCAATTTAAACTACCTCTGAAAGGAGAAAGGAAATGCATCTATCTGTCAAATGGCCATTCGGCTGTGATTGCAATCGTAGATCTGCAGTGCAATTGTCATTGTATAAAACAGAAAATGGCAGCACAGATGTCCAATCTCAGATCACAGTAGGTGATAAAAAGTAAACCCCCTTTACAAGAGTTGTTAAAAGGTCATTCCATGGACCAAGAGCATTTTCTCTGGAAAGGGTTGAATGTTGGTCATGTTGAAGCGGTCTTTATTACCATCACCTATGCTTTACAATATTTTTAAAGTGTAATTAATTCGTCTGATGGCAGTCATTACTCCAGACTTCAGAGTCATATGATGCTTCAGAAATTCTTTGATGAATAGTAAAAAGTACAGCATTTATTTGAAAAAATAAAAATAAAAAACATTGATTTTACAAAATAAAATGTATCAATATAATGCATCCTTGCTGAATAAAAGTATTAATTAATTGAATAACTTTTGAACAGTACTGGGCATTGAGTTTAACAAATGTTATCAGGAGGCTGTTTACAAAGTTGTTCCTGACACGGCCAAGAGCAGATGTTCATTCATTAGAATAGAAGTGCATGTGTGAGTCACTTGGGGGCAGTCTATGTCTGTGGATAACACTGTTTGCAAGACTGTATGACTGTATGAAGTTCAGCAGAAATCACAAAGAGCTTATGGTAAGCTGGGGAAAATGTCAAGCACTCTCTTGGAACATATTCATTCATGAAATTATACTTGCTTCAGGATTGCTTTAATGACAAAGGAAAAACTCTGTCTGCTGATATTAAGCATATCATCCTAAAACAATGAGTGTTTTTAGAGGGAAAATAGCTGATTACAGCCATAATGACTGTTTGTGAATCAA